GAGAAGGTTACACAGGAGAGACTGTTTAAACCATGGAATTGAAAGAAAAAGGCTTTCCACTGAAAAAAAAACGATGCGTTGTAGATTGCTGTAGTCAGCACTAGTGTACCCAAATAGTGAGATTTCGCGCGATTCAGTGTACGGCCCAGACTTCTCTGTATGATTATCGCCTGTTCTGCTTGATGCAGCGTAATGTGGAAGACACTCTTCAAAACAGTGTGCAATTGGGTCGATGAATTGATCGCTTCTTCTTTTCGCTGTTCAGAAAACAACAACTTAACCTTCTATATATATATATATATATATATATATATATATATATATATATATATATATATAGATTGATAGGAACAGACACAGAGAAAAAGTATTTGAATTGAGTTTTTCTTATGATTTGCTTTTAAGACATTATTTAAACAAAGACAAACATTTTAACAACAACTATGGCATGTGCCAGAACTGTCATTCCTGACGATAACCATTGTTGAACACACCGCCATCGAACGCTTAAAACTTCATTTCTGGACCACTAGATAGTTAATTTTGACTATTAAATTTTGGGCTTGTAGGAGACCAAAAGTGTGAAGAAGCCGAGGGCTAAAAACTTCAAACAGTGCAAAAAGGCACACAGTCTCGCAAAGGCTAACTGTTAGAGCTTACCCGGGTGATCTTATTATGGTAATGAATATTCTCCTTTTTAAAACGGGTGTTCATTTTTATAGCAAACACCTAGGTGTATCAAAAATGGATTTTTGAGCTATTCTAATGAACTCTCGAGCCTTTTTCATCCAAATCCTGTTGTGGATTCTTCGGTTCGCTTTATAATGGTCTTAATAGTGTTTTCTTCAGAAGCCGCATGAAAATCGGCAATAATGTAGATCATCGATTTAGGGAGAGAAAGGTTTTAGTACCGCAGAAAATTAGCCTAGCACGGAAAGACTTGCCAAGGGCCGATATTCGCTTAAACCCGTTTGTCGAACATGACGAGTTTGACGAAAGAACTGGCTGTCGTCTAGTCGGAGGTGTAGCGAATGAACGCATGCCTGCTACGACAAACAACCCGCCAAAGTTTTGTCCCATTTAAAACCATTTACATTATTAGGGACGTCGTAAGAAAAGTTAAAAATAATCGTAGAAAACCAATTGACCGTTGACTGCAGGGATATAATTTTTTTGCTTGCTATCAAAAAATCTCAGTAAAAATCAATAGGAAATTTTAGGACTACTTATGTTGTTTAAGCGTGCACTTGCCTTACTGCTACTACGACAGAAATTTAGCATTTTGAACGAGTACACTATCGAATTATTTTCCTTTCGTACCACATATAGCCTTAACAAAATAAAAGGGAAGCTGTCTTCTGAAGACAATTTTTTTACGAAAGCCTAGAAAGTATTTTAGAGCTAAGCGTTTGAAAAGTCGCTCATAAATATCGACTTCCCCATGCGGAGTTCTCTTAGAACAAATCACTTTGATTCGCTTCTCTCACGTCTCAGAGTAAAAGACATTATGGATGATAATTACCATTGTTGTGTACCTAATACATAAAAAAACAAAAGTTTAGAAGGAACCAGTAAGCCTGTTACTGCAAACCGTTGCACAATATCCGAATAGAAAGAAAGTGTCGTATTTGCCTATCGCTCTGTTACCAGTTTAGAATACCGCTTACGTCTCAACCAGTGAACACCTTATTGGGAGATGTAGCCTTTAATTGTGAGCCTTTTTATGGTGGAATTCTTGTCCCATGAGCGCTCGGGCTATCTTTCATTTGTCATATATTATCAGTTATTATCGATGCGGCCCCAAAATCATTATTAGGCAACAACATGAATACGGCGTTCTTTTGACAAAACGTTTAACGGAACATCTACACAGACTAACGAATATACCATCCTTTATGTTATAGGGTTTGACTGATTCATTAACGAATGCCCAAATTCGTTAATGAATCAGTCAAACCCTATAACATAAAAGATGGTATATTCGTTACAAATGCATAACAGCTAGAATTCTTGATCTTGCGAGCGGTTCCGGTTCACCATTTGTAAGTCGAATTGTTAAAATAGGTTGTCAATATAATCCCTGATTATCGAGAAGGTACGAATCACCAGAACGAATTATCCACTCAATGTTAGACTCGTCGAAGTCCGTTATATACGATTCATGCGTTACTAATAACTGAAAATGTACGGGGTCGTGGTTTCGTTCTTTACAGGACTTCACCCCATGTACTGGATGATTTGAGAAGCTCGATACGTTTTTCATACCTTTTTACTGCTTAACGCCAGTTGACTCTTTACTGTAATGTCGGCTGCTATCTCGGAAGGCTAACATGACGCATGCGCTACCTTAAAATGAGATTCCGCCAAAACAACCAAAATCTGCAGCATTTTGACTAAAACTCCAAAAGCTTTGTTTTATATTTTTTTAATTGGTTTGTCTTATAGGAGGATGTCTCTTGTGTTTCTATTTGTTTAACAAAACTTTCAGCCGTTCATTACTTGTAAGTTATGAAGAGTAGAGCCAACATGCGAACTCTTGCGAAAATTTCATATAAAAAATCATACAACTATAATGGAAAAAAAGCTAGATTTAGTTTTTAAAGTTTCTGTAACTTAAATTTAGCTTAAAGTTTCTTTAAACCGAAATTTCATACCGAAATAATATATCTTCGAGCAATTCAGACTTGAATGAACAGACTATGTGGATATCAGTAAAAATGTTCATGGTCAACAATTGATTAATACCTGAAATTCCCGAGTAGTTGTGCCCATATCAATATCCTCCACCTCTATATTTACCATTGTTATCTTATTAGTGGTATTTGTTTGCACACAGATGCTGAGATCAATGCTAAACGTTATTATTACAAGGCATATTATGGCTGTACAAAAATTGCCAACAATATGTAACTATTCGAATATTAAGCCGACCATAACCCCTTTGCCTATATTGAGTACAGCTTTTCAATACACTTTTTGGAAGGATACGACGAACAGTCGCAGTATCTTTTTGCAAACAAATAACGGGTCTCTTAACGGGGTCCCTCATGGGTTAACCAGCTGCTCAGTCGTCGTTCTTCAAGCAAACACACTTAGACACACTCATCGGCACAAACAACGATAAAAAAACACATGAATTATACCTCCTCGTTTTCTCAAAGCAGAATGAGACTCGCATTGACAGGCTGTTGTCGCCTTCATTGGTTTATCTCCCTCGGATAGCTTCGTTGTAGACAGAGGTGAAAGAAGGAAGTCATGACGAAGGCGGCGGTGGTGGTGATGATGATGATGGAACCGGTGATGACTCGATGATTATGGTCAGATTGCGCCAAGTAGCTAAGAAAGTGACGTTATTACCTGCAGTCCTGCCGGCATTGAGGCAGCAGGCAATTTGCTGCTTATTGGTCCTTGACTATGTGGGTCGATTATCTTCGCAAGCAAAGGTGTGGGCGAAAAAAACGCTTGGGCGTGTGGGCTGGTGTTCAGTCTAAATGAGTAAACCCGCACAGGATCACAGTGGCGATGAAGTCGTCTCTCGATGAACTGATAATGGAATTTTATTAATTGAGTGTAAAAGCGAATATCTATCACCATCACCATAAGAGACGTTACATGTGTCAATGCAAGCTAAGAGAAGAACACATGTGACAAAATAAGATGGGCTACAGGGACCCAGTTCTAGTGACTTAACCGCGTTGATTTCATTTTAAATCAATGTAATCGGGAAAAGAAGATGCGCAAGGAACTAGAGGAATTAAGCTATTCGATGAGTAGTGCAAAGCTTAATTGTTTGCAAGCTGCTTTACTTCCAGGAATGATCTTCTGCTTGATGGCCAATTTTGCCACCCATAATATATTAAGTACAACACTATTAGAAATTAGTTCAGGTGCAGTTTAACTCAAAACCCTGTAGAGCGAAAAAGGGCATTTCGATAATTTCCGTAAAATGCAACAATGATCTAAACAATTTAACCAATCACATTATTATTATCATATTACAATCATTTATAGCAAAATGTTACTTTTTTTTATAGCAAATACTTGTATTTGCTGCTTTGGGCGTAAGCTATTTCAGCAAAATCCCATTAAGCTTTACCTGTGATTAGCGTTGACCCAACATACCACTCTTCGGTGCTTCATCTACTGTGCGATACGAGTAATACTTAAAGCTCTATTGGCGAACACCAACAGCACACGTCTTTAATCTTCCGCAAGTCCACTGTCCCTTGGATCTACCATGGATCTCTTAGCGCTGTTGCTGGAGGACACACCTCATGTTGAAGGCAGATGCGTAGAGAATCACGCCTTTTGTATTTTCAAGTCATGATGTACAAATTCTTAAAATACAACTCCTAAGCGGTAGGAAAAGGTTAGCGAAACGTCAAGCACATCGCCGGTGGGCCATGCGGCAGCTGTACCATTTCTGCCGACAGAAACTGAGCGGAGACGTCTTAGGTATTCAGCGTAAATATATACTACGTGTTCTCGACCAAACGGAGAGAGTAACGATTGCCCCGATATTGTAACCCAAATTGTTTTATATGAATACCCTATGGTGTATCGAGCAGTGGCTAGTTTTTAATGAATGCGCGAAGTCCGCATGTTACGGCGAGTCGATGTGCTTCTTTCAGCATAAAGTGTGGATAAGCAATGCAGCTGCAGGTATGTCCGTATGCTTAGAGACAAATGTTCTGGTATCTCTATCGAGCCTTCACTGGGAATGTTTATAACATACTGATTTGAGTACACCTAATACTGAAATGAACTTAACAGATTTTCATCATATACGTTAGCAGTGGCAATTTCCGCTATAGAAGTTCGCCTATAGGCATATTCTATTGCATTGTCACGTAGTAAAATTTGATACTATGCGATCAGATTTGAGCTTTTTAAAAGATCGAAGTTTGACGTTTGCTCGCTGGGTAAATTTTGCAAAGACATACATTATACAACTAGTGAACCTCATACAAATAACATTAAAAACGCCTGGTTACTTTCAGAAATGTGTTCAAACCAATCGGACGGTGGTTCGGCCTGCGGCCTCGTCCACAACGGCCCATAATCAAAAATGAGAAGGACGTACTACTGGAAAAGGCATTTAGGTCCGCTCAGGGTATTAAAGGTGCCCAGCACAAACCTCCGGCAGATATCGTAAGTCTACACCTTGACGCGTTTCTCCTAAACAATGTACGACAGGCCCTTTCGTGAGATAAGCTTTATTATTTTTCATAGAATGACAGAAGGAAACGATAATTCTAACAAGGTTACTAATAGTATATATGTTTGTCTTTATATATTTATATTCCACCTTAAATAAGATTTTTAAAATTTTTTGCACTGCGAGTAGACTTTTTTACACAAAATATATTTCGGTTTTAGAATTTTACTACAACTTACAACGAAATTTACTTATCATAAACATATTTTTTTATACAATACCATTTCTATGACGATTAAACACACACTTTGAGAAGAAGGAAAATATAACTTCGAATAGATGCATGTACATACATGGCAGTGAGTCAAGCATATTATTATTTCGTATAAATGGTAGTTGTATTAAAACTTTCAGGCAATTTATTCAGAACCACTTCCGTCACCACTCGGCCACACAGTACCTGTTTCGGCGAGCAGAATATATTCATTAACAGCATAAAATAGTCCGCTTCTTTTTGGAAATTACTAGTTTAGCTAGTATTATTTGGTGGCCGAATTCGGTGACTGCAGCCATAGTTGGCTTATTATACAGGCACAAACCATACCATTGTTTCTTCTGCCCATTCTCGCAGCCAGCAGACTCTTCGAGACTACTACACATTGTATAAACATGATAAAAATTTTCTTTACGGGCAACAAAACTTCACACAGAGAGATTTTACAGCCACAACAATAACATAGACCCTTCATATTTTCATAACACGCAGTCGAACCTGTTATTACTTGCCGCATTTGTTTAACTAAATGTTTTACTGTTTAAAACAAGCTTGTCTGAAATTAGGGAAACCTGTTGTTCTTATTCTCAAGACAGTTCTGTACTATTGTACAAAACGTGTACTGCGTTAAGGATGGTCTGTACAATGGACGTTTCGAAAAAGCCCGCGCGTAAACAGGCTGATCAAGCGTAGTGAAGTAGTCGATCGCAAAATGGAGAGATGGCGAAGTAAGGTTATTCTGGGGGTAACATGCAGACTTCCGGGTATACGAGGGTGTGGTGGGGGCACGAACGAGCTCGGCTGTTCTTCTTCAGGCACTGTAACTGATAGAACTGCAAAGGCCAATGACGCCGTGAACTTAGACATTCAAGGGTGTTTACTTTGCAAAGGCTACACAAAGCAATTAATGCTTTGCTTATTCCCCCGTGGACTTAGCCACCGATTCATGGAATTCCGTTCATTTGGCTCGCGCCTAGAAGGAACAGAGCAACTATAGATGAATCGTTATGATGAAAGCCTCAGTCTGGTGCGAATTTTGTCTGGAACAGCCGGCAGAGTTACCATCAGCTTAGCCGCGTATTGATCTGCGTCTTTACATATTTATGTGATTATCTCGATTATGTGTTTGACCTTGTTGAACGCATATTCTCTACGGTACATCTTGTAAAAAAAATAGGTTCGCTACGGCGTCTACGACATAAATGCAAATTCTCCTTGCTCCATGTAAAAATTACGAGAATGTAGTGTCTGATCCTGATCGGCTACGCTTGTCTAGATAATTCTGGCTTCTTTGACGTAACCGATCCCGCACAGCAAAGCTAAACAACAACTACGTTTAAAAAAAAAAAGTGTCATCTGCCGAATAGCAAAAACTATCGCTTATCACATAATTAAGAAGCACTTAGAACAGTCTATGTGTACTGTTCGTCTAAACATTAAATTAGACAATGTTGTCATAGAGTGTGCCTCCGATCTATAATGAGAAGCAATCGAAATTTATGCTTATCGCGTATCTTAAAATTAAGCTTATTTAGTCGTATCGAAGGCGGGTCAGACCATGTGATCGAGGCGGTATTGAGTTACTACCTATTTTGAATCAGTTTTTAAGAAAGAACACTTCCGCATACCCGTACACAAACTAGCATATGTGTAGATATGCTGCTACAATACATTGTAGTAATGGCAACATTACGGGATTTCTTCCCTCGCCTAAATTTCGTTTATTTAGTGCAGCTCAACAGCGGCCAACCGATAAGAATCGGCTCTCCACTTTGGAGTTCGTTTATTCGTAGACAAGTACCTATATCCGTGCGTCTACGAACCTAATCTCTCACTGTTTACGGTCACAGAATGGCAAAATTGACATGATGAGCTAGCTCGTATGTTCGGTATGGGTTCTCACTTATATGAAAAAACGTGTTCTAATACGGTGTACTTATAAGTGCGGGGTACATGGATTCAGTTTCGCTAGCATATCTTAATTATTAATAGGTTGAATTAGCGGTTTTCGTTAGGGTCGACAAATGGTGTTGGGGTAGGCTTGACCTGGCTGATCGTACCTGATCCCAACAGATTGCTTTGACTGTGGAGCGTAGAAAGATACCTGTCCGACATAGTCCTTTACTATTTTCGCGCTAGAGAAGAAGTACTGCCAGAACAAAACGAATTGTTTGTAAAATCGAAAACAAACGTGCGGCAAGCGTTATCACCTGTCATTTTTGGTTTAATCGAACTAGAAGTTTCAACTTGCACGACAAGTGACGCCACAACAAGTGAACCGCAGACACTCCTTCCTGCAGACAGTTAGAAGTGACTCGTATTAATATTTTTAATGTTCCGCATACGTTAGAAAAGATTGTGAAAGAAAGAGGCTTAATTCTCATGAACTCAGTGAAAATGATAAAAACTATCTGAGAATATTAACCCGAAGGAGTAGACCTCTCTACTTCGGTGCCACGAAAAAGTATTTATGATTAAAAGTTGCACCTCTTCATATGGTAGGATAAGAGGGGAATGCTGTTATACTCAAATCCCAGAAGAAAACTGCGAGAGACCGCTACGCAAATCTACTCGTCTAGCTGAGCCGTGAAGTTGACAGAAAAAGCCTTGGCCTGGCAAAGGACGATCCCAAGTGGTATTACTGCGTGATAAAGCTGCATCGCGTACTGCTTTGGCAACTCAGCGAGCGTTAACGGACCTCGAATAAAGAGACTCTGCTTTATGCGGCGTATGTCCCCAGCATCGCTGCATCATTTCTTCGGGTCGATGCAGCGTGGCCAGAAAGGCAAACACTTCAGAACGGAAGCTGAAATCGACAAGTCCCAAGAACGAATTCTTTCTGTTTCGCTGGATATGTCGAACGAAAAGCGACTCATTGACCAAAATAAGTTCTGCTTTAAATGCCGAAATGAATAAGAGTGGCGGGAGCATTCTACTTAACCTAATATATGTATTTTCATGACACAGAACAGGTGCTTAATTAGTTTAGATAACAAATATGTATTTATTACTGTGACATAAATATGAATTTCGATAAAAATGCATATCTGTGTGATTTCCTGTTCCAATCGAGACAACGAGTACCCGTCTAAAGTGGGCATTTTATTGAGTTCCTTAGAATCTGAATAAACTTGGCAATGTAATTGCTCCGTGTTTCAAGGTAGCTTCCTGACAGCCTATCGCCGCTGCCCATCGATCGACTAATTTATAGCCTGCAGATGAATTCGCTCGCCTAATCCGCCAAAAAATAACTGAGTAAAATGTAAGGTTTATTTGTTTAATAGTATTTGCCTATTCGCCGACGCTATTCACCTGATGTCTGTTTTAACTTCCCAAGTTCAGTTGGATCGTGTGCCACACTAAGCAAAAAACTCAAATGTAAGTATGAAAACCAGTCTAAGTTCATATGTTTCTACAAAATCCCTGAGTATGCGTCTTAGTGAGTCGATTCGTTCTGTACAGATATTGTAACGGGCGTAATTTATTTGCAAGCTCGATCGGTTACGTATCGTACGTAGAATTGTTCACCCCTATAATAAAAGCGGGTTTCCAAAATGACCTATTTACTACATAGCAGTATTTGCTATGCATTCAGCTGTGCATATAGAGATACGCGAAGTAACGGGTGCTAGCTTGTGGTGATGTGTGTGTTCAATTCTGGTACAGACAGTTTTTTAGTTGTATGCAAGATGGCCGCGCTGTATACAACTCTATGGTTGGATGAAGAAAGATATATCGGGCAGATGCTCGCTTGCAGAGCTCTGATGTGGGCAGTGTAAAGTACGCCAAGGAGAGTGGGGCGCTGTGAGAGCTTTTCGTCTAGTTAGGGGGGCATTGACTGAAGTGCTGGCCGTGGACGCTAGCTCCATCTGCATCCAGGATGAGCAGACGTCCCTAATACGTTTTCTCTAGTATCAGTTAATGTCCCTCCGAAAGTCTAGGTGGCAATAAATATAAAGCACAGCTGGACAATCCTGGACGGCCTTGACACCAGAAAGAGTGGACAGTAGGTCTGCCGGATCTCATGTGAGGTATTTTTTAGATTTTTCAATGAATAAGCTGAATGTGGGTAACTAGTGACGATAGTGAGAGAAAGTGCTCTTCTGAAGGAGACAAACAAGCCAAGTAGAAATCACCGTTTCGATCGGACGAGGTGCTAGATTTGTCCATTGTTTCCGATGGTTTTGACCTTTTAAAAAAGAAGAGCGATAGAACACGTAAACGTATATATTATGAGTGCACAGGTAAAATTAGCAGAACTGCTTAGCGACGTATTCAAGCTTAGCCAGCTGTTAAATGAGCTCAAACACAGAATATAAAAGAAACATTCGATTTTTGTCTTTATTTGAACTTAATTCACTACACAGAATCACTGTAAATAAATAAAAGCATGCTTGACTTATATTATCCTTTTCCACAGCTAGCGCAAGTGGTCCCACTTATAGGGCTGGCGGAGCGAGAAGTAGAGCGTTGGTGGAGACAACGGGCCCGCGCTGACAAGCCGACATCGCTTGACAAATTTTCAGAATCCGGTTGGCGTTGTACCTATTATGCTGCCGCTTTCGCTTATGGATGCTGGTGTCTATCCGATAAGCCATGGCTCTGGGACACTATGTACTGCTGGTAAGTTCACTTTATATTGAAAATTGGAGAATGGTGGTCTTCAAAGGGGTCATCCAATAGGTATTCGTATGTAAATATATACATAGACGTATTACAGTACGTATTACAGTAGGTACATGTGCTCTTGACAAATCCTATGATTTTATTGCATTTTTATCGCTGTCTAAAACTATTCGTAAATTAAACATGTGTGCTTATCGGCTATTTGCTTACAGGTATGATTTCCCACATCACGATATGACCAACGATGTTTGGTGGTATTACATGATTGAGTTAGGCTTCTATATTTCGCTTACGTTCTCCCAATTCCTTGACGTCAAACGCAAGGATTTTTGGCAGATGTTCGTTCATCATATCGTCACAATTATGCTGATGGCCTTCTCGTGGACGTGCAATCTCACGCGTATCGGCACGCTGGTACGTCACGGCACTAGGCACGCGGACGTAGTTAAAATCTAGACGCGTCTAGTGGTTGAGGTTTACGAAAAAATATAAATTTATGGAAACTGGGCGGCTTCCGAACGCGCCGAGAAACGAATTTAAACTATTTTTGACGCTACTATTTAAATTGTGATAGTTTTTTTTGTTTATTTCATAGAGTCGTGATAATAATCTACTTTGCACCAATAAGTTCAATAGAAAACGTTGTTAAGTAAAATGTTGGAGTATCCTAGGTTCCTCATGGCCTAGTTCTGCATTAATTAGCCTTATGTGAGGATAAGTAAATTACCAAAACTGGTCTGTTTCAAAGCGCTTTGGTACTTGACAACGATGCCTATGTGTTGTACGTCTCTCCTTCTGTTCGGAAACGTGCTGACGAATACGTTTATTATAATAGACAATCTCGATATTTGTGCAGGTAATGTTGCTACACGATTTCGCAGATGTCCCTCTCGAGGCTGCCAAAATGGCGAAGTACGTGAAAAAGCAGCGCGTGGCTGATTTGTTGTTTGTCGTGTTCACTCTTTCATGGATCGTCTCCCGACTGGGTCTCTATCCCTACAGGGTCATTTATTCCACAGCCTACCAGGCCACTTTCGTCATCGAAATGTTTGCGGCCTATTACATTTTTAACAGGTTCATATCCACAAATGCGTGAAGTAAACCTTTGTTCCAAAATCGAAAATTTACATTTACCCCTTTATAGAGATCTGAATGTACCTACGCGTAGAGTAATGATCTGTTAGTTCGGCTCGATGTGAGTCCTCTACTCTAGTAAATTTCAAATATATCGAAATCATACACTTTTGTTCAAGAGAAAATATATATACAAGGACAATGGTTGCTATTAGAATTTCGCTAGCTGAATTGATCGTATAGTGGAATCTGGAGTTTTAATAAGGAATGATTATAGGTTATAATCAATAAACTGGTCCTTTTTTTTTGCTGTACGAATGTATACACTCATCCAATTGCAGTCTTTTGCTGGCACTTCAAGTACTCCACATTATCTGGACGGTGTTTATCGTAAAGATTGTCATTCAGGCCTTGACCAGCCCGGGTGTGAGTACCGTAAGTATGCTTTGCAGACGCTTCTTGTTTTGTCAGTTAAGTTACTGTATCACCTTATCTAAGAATAAATGCGAGTCTTACACCGATGCAGACTATATTTTAATCACTAAGAATATAGAAAATATCAATAGAAAAGAGAATAATGTGTCAAGAACAAACCTTTGTGTTATTTTTAGTTTTTTTTTTCGTTTAGTTGTGTACATTTCAAGTTACATGATTGTATAAGGGTTTCATTTTGCGTGATAGGTTTTGCCCTCGGTTGGTACCAGTGGCATCAGTAAGCGCTGATAGTCACAGATATTGTCGCAGACTGAATGACTACTCTTTAAAGCTAACTGACATTTTAACGAGGTTCTGCATTGTTTTGCGGATAGCCTCAGCGCAAGTATGTTATTCTGCTAGAATCTGCTCTTTTTTTTCTAAAGCCCGTTGGGGGCATATTTAGTAATGTCTAATAAAACGAAAATAAGTTGCGCTTCATTTTTGCTGTCATCGTATGTATTGACGTTGAGTTATGCACGTACCATCTTGCACTTATGAAGCTGAAAAGCTCGAATATGTCTGCTCTATGGACTGCTAGATATTAAATGATCTGTAATATTAATATTCTGTGAGCGATGATCAGTTTTATCCGAGCAATAAGTTCCATTAGGCGATACAGGAAACATAGGAAGCTTATAGCGTACTGTGTACACGAACGCGCTTACTATCGACTGCGGATAAAGTCAAACACAATTAATAATGAAAACTCGAGATTAGAGGATAAATGTTTGTTATTTAAACAGCGGGACCAACATAAAACGAAGCGGTCTGACAAACAGCCAAAAATAAATACTTCCATAAAAATAGATTAATTGAAAAACAATTTCGCTACTTCGATTCGTTACAGATTAAAGATCTTCGTAGCGAAGACGAGTCATCTACCTCTGACGAAAAGGAAGACTAGACCCGGCAGCACGGCACTGAATAGTTAGCGTCTTGACGAAGTTAAGCATTAAACGCGTAACTTCTTGAGGCTTCCATCATTTAATATCACAAGACGGCATCTTGCACAGATTCGCTGCGCAGTATTCATTATCGTGGACGAATTCGTCCCTCGGGTATTCACCGTTAAATCTGCTGAAAAATATTATTTATAGACATTCTCATGTATGATGTAACACCATACACACATGTTACTAGAGTAATAGCCAACATGCTTGTCTCTACGCACTCCGATTGAGAAAGTTACGCAAATCCGGACATCCAAGTTATTGCGTTCAAACTTCCAATGTCACAAAGCGGTGTAGGGTGTACTACTCGCAAGAGGGCGCTACAGCGTAAGTGTAAAGCAATGTGACAATTCGACTATAGGAATCAATGACTAATTTCACACTATATCTGATACAACAATGTTGAAAACATTAGTTCTCATTGGCTACACCACGCAGATCGAAAGTAGTGTTGATCTGCGGATAATTCGCCAGATCGGAGAAACTAGAAAAGACGAACGTAAACCCTGTAGAGTATGAATCTTCCGACAAAAAAAGATCAGCCACTGACTGAGAGGAGGGGTGGAGGACTTGGTGAAAGGAGGCCGATAGCAATATTTACTAATGATACGTTTGAGATAACCAGTGAAAACCGCACCATCGTATAATGGTGCCGATAGATATGTAATGGTATAGTAAACCGAGGTGGATTTCGCAATGCGAAACAAGCAAGATGCTAGATTACGAGGGTGATAGGAGCACCGCGACGATGGTTTGTCTATACCACAGTTTAGGAGTGGATTTCCGTTGAAGGAAGGTATGGAAGTGAATATCATTTGTGTTTGATGGTCATATCAGCGAGACAAGTGATTAGATGGTGAAGTAGAGCGTGATCGATGGCCACTGATTGATCTGCGCATCGCATGTGCGGCCTCCAAGGACAAATCTTGCCCACCTTTGGTTGAACAAGAACGATTGTGGAGAGTACTATCGCAGATTTGTACCTGTTGTATTTACCTACGGTTCATGTCAATGCACAGCGTGGTTTCCCTGCGGTGCACCGATATGACTGTGTAACTTGTCATGTGCTTTATCTGTCGGCCGCGGGCTGATGCAAACGACGACGACGACGACGACGAAACTTAGGCTAGCGTGCGTCTATCTGAGTGTGTGCTTGTATCAAAGCGTATGGGAAGGGGGCTCTTAGGGCGGTAGGCGTTTGGGCCTGTATATAACAACATGGTTATCTTCATTGTTGTTATATTATTGATAACTGATGGACGGAATAAAGGAAACCGAACGGCGTATTATGTGTGAACTTTATCTTCATTAATACATTTACTAATAGACGAAAAATACAGATTTAGCAGCTCGCTAAGAGTGCGCAAACAATTAGCTGAGTAGAAGAGAGGGGAAAACCAGAACGTATACAAAGATCGATCTACATAAAAACATTAAACGCATATTACCCAAAACGTATAACAATTACACGTTACGATTTTCTTAGCCGTGCAATTCAACGTTCTTAAGACAATAAAAACCATAAGCAAAAGCTGAGAAAAAGCGAAAGACAGGCATTGCGTGTTGATACGGCATATATAGGTGATCGCGCTGAAACCCCCATGAGAACCCATTCCGTCAACCAGCAACGTTCCAACATCATATTGCTTTTATGCTTAGCTGATTCCGATTTTCCGAGATCCTTGTTCGTGTTGATAGATTTGAATTAATGAAATACGATTATTTGTAGTACTTTGTTAATGATACAATTACTGTTACTTCTACTGATAGTATACTCATTCTGACTTGAATGCAAATGACCAGAACTAGTAGAAGTACATAGATTCTGTCTAACAGAATAGGCGATAAGTATGTTAGAACAGCAGTGGACATGAGTTGTAGACGTTAGTGGCGTAACTATATGAAAATACCGTATATCTGTATAAAATATATCGAAAGTGGCCATCTAAACTATATACTAGGGTATATAAATAACAAAATCAATAATTTCTACTGGCTATTATTCTTGTAATCAACTAGTAATGCTCAGATGCACTGAGGCGGGTCGCCTGATTCACAGCTCTGATCAACTTTTCCAGTACATTTCTACGGGGTGACCAGCAGTAGCAGCAGCAGCAGCGAAAACAACAACAGACATTTAAGATCAGTGGCCGAAATGCTAGACCTCTTTTTCACTCACTGGTTAATCGCAAGGAAGAACGTATTTGATTATACACGCACTAAAAATCAAATAAACGTATCCAGGTCAGGTAAAAAAAAATGCGATGGATGGCAAGAATGAATGAATTAAAAAATATATCGCCACAAAAAATACATCAATAGGTCGCTGCTCATTTCTGTAAATAATAAGTCACAAGGATCGTTTTCTACTTCAACCGTTTGTAGCCAACCTTTTTCCTATACTTAAACGTTGCTCCGTTCGATCACTGGGGTTCTGTTAGATCCTTCGTAGAGAATCCTAGCAATTATAATAGCAATCATGATACAAAAAAAATAAAAATGGTAACCGGAGAACGTTCGCAGCCGGGTCACCAGTTTAACCGATCAGACCAATGAAAACGAAGTAATGCACAAAGGCGAAAGGATAAAAATCGAATAAATCGTATAACGAAAGGCTATGACATTGCGTTAATACGACAAAATTAGGGAAAGAAGAATATACACAACAAAATAAATTATATATAAATATACAGAACTGTTCTAATGCTGACGTTATTACAATAAGGTGCTGTAAATAAAAAAAAATATATATACAAAGCCAGTACAGGAATTTGCATATATTTTTTTAAGCCCGAACACCTAGGTATTGAAAAGGAATACACGGTTTGAATTTTAACCTTGCGTTTCGTAGGTTTTTTTTATGTATAGAAGATATGGCTTGAATAGAGATACATTATCCGGGCACGACAAATCTTAATACAATAAATATCGATGCCTTAGGTAGATTCAAACGTATGTTGGTATATTTCTGCCGATTCTTAATATGATAAACTGCGACATTAAAATCCTTATTGTTTGACGAGGAACAGTTAAATGCAGGTAGATGGATTTTGGCCTCATTGGTATTCACTGTTGACTTCGAAAGTATTTAGAGCAGTTTTTTTAAAGTTACCAAATTGTTTATGTCATACACCGAGCTTCGAATCATTAATTTGTCCGAGATCTTTATAATAGTCTCAGCTGGTCGTTACATTATAATATTTAGACGTATAAATAGGTCATAAAACCGATAACGGAAAGTGAAAATTAGGGTCTGCAGGTTCTAATGTAGTAACTATGTTTAGAGATGAATGAGAGTACTCTAGTCTGTGATGTAATAAAATGCCACTACCTTGTCTAGACATTAGAGAGGGGTTCTGAAACTCATTCAAGAGCTTATGGAATAAAAAAAAAACTAATCGAAGTTTGAAAACGATACAGGGTTAGATAGGTACTACACTCAGGTAAAAGTGAAACAACAGTTCAGGTAGCCGCTGTTCGTGCAAAAAATTTAATATGTGCAGTCGTGCAATTTTACTCTTTATTTGAAGTAGTTGTTATTATCCTTTGGTCGTTCCCTGACCTCAAGCTCGATTAATTCAGCTGGTCGCAATACGACCTCAAAAAAAACTTTCATACGCTCCTGAGGAACGAGCGATTTTACTTGCAGCCTGCGAAGAAGTGTCGCCAGGACAATTTTATCCTCCTGAATAGCGAACTTCTGCCCTAAAAAATGAAATTTCGTGCCTGTCAGAGCCACCAATAACCGACGAATTAAAATCGTTGCAATATAATCCGTGTTTATATAAAAAGAACAAGGATCAATTTAATGATAAGTACCGCCAAATCTTCATCCGAAGAACATTATGTTCTAAGTGCTTGTAAGCGATGAAATGCTGTTTTTTATTGTTCGTTGTATAAGTTCGGTGCTTATTATTAGCTGCTTATAATTATTAAATGTCTAATAAATATTTCTTATTAGAAAAATGTATGCACTGTATCTTACCCACGCAGTTCCTCGGCCCTCCCGAAAAAGGTATGAAGGCGTAAGGCTTTAAGTTCGCCGCATTTTGAGGAAGAAAGCGATCAGGATCGAACTTTTCTGCATTCTCAAACACCTCTGGATCTCGATGAATATGGAAGATATCGATGAAGACAGTGACTCCAGACGTCAAATGATATTCTCCTGCCATCAACAAGTTGTGTATGACATGATATTATCGAGTGCGATTAATATAATTATATAACATAATAGCTCTTAATCGCTCGGCCTTGTTTTGACAACATACAAATGTCGGAGAAGAGCCTTTGATATCTGTGTGAACAACTACATATAACAGTAATATACATGTATATATTTATCAGTTTTATTCAATATGCCGACAATAGTGAATTTGAGGAATATAAAATAGTGGCTTCATACCTATATTACATCCATGTATTACCTCCCGGGCAATCAGCGGAGCCGACGGATATAATCTGAGCGTTTCTTTAATAACGCATTCAAGATACTTAAGTTTGTTTAGGTCCTCGGTTATAATGGCTCTTGTACGATCATCGCCGAAAACTCGATCTAATTCATCGTGAACCTTCGCCTGAACTTCGGGATGAAGTCCAAGTAAATACAGTGACCACATAAGAGCTGAAAGATTTAAAAAAATCCCTTAGTTGTATATTCTATTTGCATAAGGTAAATTTACTCGTAGCATGTTTGCTATACGTAGCGGGATCCAATGCGATTTACGCATGGCCTGGCTAAGTGAATAATATGCGAGTGGAATAAATAAGTTGAATGAGCTGTCGTTAGCGAAATAACTCAAAGTTGCAGAAGATATCGCCTAGCAATATAGCCGCATTAAGTTGTGGCACTTCTTCCGGGCAATGTCAAGTTTTCTGAATTATCTGTTTAACAGTAACGCAATTCGTTGCTGGTGAGCAACAATGTTAAAATCACTCAGCTTGCACTGATCACTCTCAAGGTATTCTACGTGGAAGTCGAGAAATACCAACTCACCTACAGCGACCGTATCGTGTCCCGTAAATATGAACGTGTCTATCTCCTCCCTGATCTCTTCCATCGTCGGTTCCTTATCCTGGAGGTGTTTTGTCAGCAAGCTATCAAGTAATGGTCGTTTTTTCCGTGTAACTCCGCTTTCGTCAGCGACTTCTTCGGTCAGAGATGGCTGTTCTTGCAGTTCCTTCATCCTTATCGATATTACCTGGGAAAACGTCATGGAGAAAACGCATGGTAATGAAAAGATACGAATCGCTGCGAGTTAGGGGAGTTCTAGCACGTTTCCAGTTTCGACGCTACAAATCCCGTGTGCTTGAAATAGTTTTTGATTCTAATCTAATTTGCTATATTCTGTCTTTGACCAATCAAATGATATCATTTACCTTACGGGTAAATTCGTGCGCAACCTTGAGATTACGGAAGTATTCCCGTCCGCTAGGAGAAATCCGGTATATAATGTCTGACCATAGCCAGGGAGTTAAATGACGCTTCATGTAGCCTTCAGTTATCAGCCGTAAGCTGTTTATATATTCGTTTTCTGTACGTTGAGCGTCTATTGATATGCCCATTGCCGTCTCTGCAACACCATTTGAACAATACATCATAAGGTTGTGTAGATAAAAACAATTAATAACCAAAATTTGTCGACATCTAATATTTTAACAATTCATTATAGGGACTCTGTTTCAAGCAAACGAAGAGCCGTACTCAACTATCGAAAACTGGGTGAATTCAAAATAAACGCATTAGGAATTGAAGGCATGCAACAACATCGAGAAGTTTTTTTAGAAATAGATTCTATAATCCTAAAATATCCCCAGCTCAACGAAACTACAGTTACAACAAAGTCAGTTAACGTAATTCAGCCCCAAATCGCTATCGTTGTTTGGTTAGGTCGAGAAGTTACCGTAAACTGAATGTTACGGAACGATTCACCGTACCGCAAATGATATTTAGAGCGCACTTTCCAAGGTAGCTGAATATATCGATCCTCTTATTTTGCTGTTCCAAAAGAATTTCGGTGAGCTGAGCTGCTTGTTTATTCATGGTGGGCATGAATTCTTCCAGGATATTGAAGTGAAAGACGGGAGTCAACATCTTGCGTTTACGCTGCCACTTCGGTCCATTGCTGGATACAGATTCATAGTGCAAGTATATTAACTTATAGTTAATCGCTTAGTTGATAAACACTACGGCGCCCTTGGGCCTTTCTAACACCCTATTATTATTTAAACTTTCAAAAATCATTTATTAACTTCTATTTGAGTTTTTGTTTCCTGCTTGCATTTTCTTGCATTCTATCAAGATGACCATCAATTAGGGCTTGTCATTTTTCTGAGCGTATCGAAGGGCGGACTCCCTTATTTAGGGGGGCCAGGGGCAATATTCACCTTGTAAGTAGTCCCTGTCCTAGCCAAGTTTCAATGAGAGCAACTTCTTTTGCTTTGTAAGTTTCGACCGTGCTCTTCAATAGACAGTCAGCTCTATTTCCCCGCGTCAGTACAACGATGGGTCTGAAAGTGAACCACATGCGGTATAGGCCATATGATCTATATTTCGAGGTCAATGAGTCCATTAGCTCGTACAGGGCTGTAAGTAGATTAACACGATCAAATCAAACGATTAGCGAAAAATAGCCTAGTAACTTACGTAAAGTAAAACCGTGTGCTACAAGACGTGACGTGCAATCAAATACGTATGATGAATTGTGAAGTAACGTTACTATGCATTGCAAGACTGTCACAGTGCTGCACGATATAGTTGTATTGGGCTGATCTTTGAGCAGGCCTTGCCAGCAGTTTATGGCATAGGCTTCAATGGATATTTTGCCTTAATAAACTCCTTGTTAGAATTTCAAGAACAGGCGCTTCTAACGAACTTTATAATAGTCTTTTGTAAGTATATATGTGTATGAATAGATACTGAGTAAACTGTCCAAGACATCGGCGGCTACGAATTCTTTCAAAGGAGAAAAAGACTGTCTTTGCGTCGCTATCGGCAGTATAATTTCAAACGATGTGCATAGCAAACCTAATTTTATGGAAAAAAAACAGAATACAGTACCTTGACCGGCTCGCACGTTTTTCATATATTGTTCCATGACGATATAGAGCTCAGACCCAAAGGGCCAGAAAATGTTAAGAATTGAAGGCTGGGGTCCAGGGATTGGATAGGCAATAATAGTTTGGCGACGCTTAAGAAACGCTGCCACGTAGGCCGTAATCAGCATAACAGTTATTAATTCCAGTATCAACAGCCAGCTTCCAACGTACGTCATTGCTCCAACTTGAGTACACAAACAGCGGCAAATCCAGATGAACCTTAAAGTCAACGCTTCTATAAATTCGTTAGCCGTTTTAGCGGAAAAACGTAGAATTAACACGCTGTTAACTGAAATAAGACAGGGTCTAGCTATGCGATTACGGGTAAGACTGATACGCTATTTTCATGGCCAAGTCGTTGTGGGAGGCCGTTTCAAACAACAAAAATGCCCTAAACATGCACAAAAAGAATAAGTAAATTTGCCAGTAGAATTAGGGCATTTTAATAGTATTCTAGATTAAACCTGTTTGCTTAAGCACAGTCTTTTGCACACGGAGAAAACTGAGCCAATTTGTGCCTTTGTCTGTGTCGCCTCTTAACGCAGTTGTCCACCGTCCTTCTACTAAGCGTCTATTTTCTTCAATATCAAAACTACTACTGCATCGTCTGTAAGCGAGGGCTCAGTTGTTGTGCGTCTAGCCGCTTTGGCTACCCTTTCTTATAAATGAACAGATAACAATTGCGGTCATAGCTAAATTTGGCGACAGAAAATATTCGTTACCCAATCGTCGAATGCCACCGTACCCATCTTCGATATTTATTGTTACATAATATTTTATCAATATGAGGAACGTTTTTCTTTTCTACTTTTCGAGCCTTCAAACCCTTTATATCGCACTAGTTTTCGTTGGCTTTTGTCGATAATCCAGTTTTGTAACACAAATCTTGTACGCCAATGACAAAAAAGCGAAGTGACAATGCTGTACATTGTAATTTCAGGTATATATTTTCAAGCGCGCCCATTGACGCTCCGATCCTAATTCAGAGGTGTCTACAATCAGTTTGGCTAAACGTTTTAAAATGTATGTTTTAGCCAGAAGAACAAATAATAATATGATTGCTAGTGATTTTAAACCCTATTTTTGTAAAATGGACCAGAGCATCTGCTGAGAGAAACCGAATTCACATAGTATTAGTATTTTCCATGGTAAATATACTATTATCCCATACCTCTGTATTGAATATCTCGCAAGCGAACTGTGAGATAGCACTTGTACAGCGTTCGATGGTGAAGCATGAGAGGAAGTTACCGTGCGGCCGTTGTGTAGGCCGTCCTTAAGCTTGCTTTCAGTTTCCCCGCTTGTTTCTCACCGACTATTCTGAGCTGTTGTCCAGCGTCGTAAGTGTCTGAAATTTGATTTTGGAAGAGAGCCCCTGGCCATGATGTAATGATACTCCTTTCCTCGTGCCTCATTTGTATCGAAGCGTTCATTGCACGTTATGATGAAATGGGAAGAAATTTTACAACAGTGAACGCGACATCTAGTTTGATTCTACTTAGAAGTGATTTATTCAAAGGTACGCTTTTAATCATACAATTATGACTAAAACCGAATTTCCTTACGAGAATCGTCGCAGATTGCCACATGCTCCGGGTCACGAAACTCATCAATCTTTGTTATCAACCATAATGCGGTAACCGCTAACTGCTTCATCGACCGCCTACTAAGCGCCGTAAGTACCCACATTTATCGCTGCCCTAACAAGCACTTTTAAATTTACCGAAAGCTATTGCTATCAAAGAGTCCTAGGTCCTTTAGTTGATAGTAATCTACGGGACTAAATTTTAACTGTACCATAGTCTGCCTATAAAATGATCCTTGATATGTAGCTTGAAATATATGTTACTTTTATTTTTTTGTTTTCTATAATAATTAACACACATGGCGGTCAAGACTCGGTTTGAAAATGCTATCTGTTTACACTAGCGTTTTTGCCAGTATAGCTGGATATTCACGCTTGAGTATCCTTTTTTTTTCAGCTTTGTTTTACTTTCCGCAATAGGACAGTGCAGAAGAAAAGAGAGAACTTATTGATTCGTATCATCGGCCTGCATATAGCACATTCAGTACAAAATAGAGAGTGTAGCAATTACTTAGATATTAATTATGACAATTGCAATGTATGAAATTATTCCCCTAAATGAACCCCCTTGCTCATTACCCACGTAATGTTTCTGTTTACCTATTCGCTATACGTTACGACCTCCGACAAAATAGACCTACTCTAGTTAGATGTACTTTCGAAAAAATCCTAGAGCTCTGAAGTTTCGAAAATAAAAAGCGCGGATACGCTACATAGCATAATTATTTAGCAAGCGTCACTATTGTAATCTTCTTAAAAATTTATTTTCCATATGATCTAATAATACAGGTAGGTGTCCTGATGTCCGTCTATCATAGCGGCATCTTCCTGCGTAATAATTGTGGCGTACATCACATAGCTGTACGGCATCGGTACACTACGTCGATTTGCCCACAAGGGCTTCTATCACTATTAGAAGAACTTGACATTTATTTTAAGCTTCCCATTTCTTAAAATGATTCATCGCACACGGAACCTATCACGCTGAGGGTTATGCTTTTAATCTCAGGGTCTAATTTGTTGAATCTCTTTGGTCTATTGAGGGCTTGCTTTTGATATTGACCTTGTCCCGGACTCTCTAGAGGGTCTCTTTGTCCTAGACTGGGTGCCGATGGGGCCTTACAATATGCTTTGAGTATATCGAATTTGAATGAGTGCTTCGAGTTTTACAGTGCTATTCTTGAGCATCTTTTGGGGTGGCTGGCCCCCCAGTACGAAACAAAGTTTCAACAAATCAGGCTGGATATCTCAAACCTTCTACGTGCACATAACGCCTACGTACACAGTTATCTAAGTGGCTTGGCTCTCGCTATAAGGACGTAACGTGTGATATGGCATATTATATCAGAAGAGAGACTCTTATTAATACGGTTATTTAGATTGCTGTTGTATTGTTGGCGCCTGATGGCAAAAGAAAAATGGAGTATAAGGTCTAAATTCGAATCTTCTTTTTTTCTAGTATGGGCGGCAGGCTTGTAGGGAAAAGAAAAGTTCTATGACAGGTGCTAATGTTCATCATTAAGTGCAACCACCGCTTATGAAACCAACGCGCCGCGCATTTAGTACAATCTTTAAGAGCTCGAAAACCATCGTCCGGGCAAAAGAAGGAGACAAGAAATAATAAATAAAAAAGAGAAAATATAAAGATATACGTCTACATGAGAAGCTTGGAAGTCTATTAAACAGATTTATAACAATTTAATGCTAAGATTATCCTAGCCGCGTAATTCAGCGTTTGATAAAAGGACATAAACATAACCAAACACTGAGCAGGACCAAAGAGCAGGCATCGTCCGTGCAATGAAAATATTGATATATTTAAAGGCCAAGCTTATTCTAAGCACACCAAGCTAGATTCATATCAATAATCGCCGTGAGACCTCAGGTCGTAAAGCATATTTTCTCTACTAGCCACATCCCAATAAAAGATCTATTTTTCTCTTGTTGTTTTTATATTCGAAATAGCAAAAAAATGTTTACTAGCATTATTACAGTTACTATCATTAATTGTAGATCGTACCATTATACTATTCAATCCGAATTAAAACGTAAATGTTCAGAACTTACGCAAATAGTATATATTATATGTACAGTAATAGATAAACAGACGATCGATGTGGTACGCTACCACATGAAGCATGTGAGCTATAAACACAAGTGGAAGGTTATACGGAGACACTATTTGTCGGTGTTATTGAAGCTATGTGTGTTTCTCTATATCGGCAATAATAAACTAATGGTCATATTTGGATACGTGAAGTTGGATCGTCTGACGAGCAGATCTACGTTAAGTGTTCTTCCAAACATTTTGGTCAGAATGAAGCAGCAAATACTGTGCAAACATTCTTTTTTTTTTCATTGATCTCTTAATAACAACCCAGAACAAATATTTAGATTTATTACCGACCAATTTGTTATTATTTAACGTTTGCCCAAGTATCCGCTGAAAATATATTCGAATCGTTGATAAAAGTGAATAATAAAGGAACTGCAGAAAATCTTGAAAATAGTAATAACCGTTAATTAATATGAGAGAAATAAATCAAGAATTGATCTCTGTAGCAAGTTTACAGTCGGGTCACAACTTGAACCATTTTGGCCGATTAGATAAACGAAGGCAAAAATAATGTAGTGAAGGAAGTGAAAAAATACACACACACACACACACATATATATACCTGGTCCTAGGGTTACGGGAGTCTGAGACGCCGCAAAATTGGAATGGCACGCACACCGTCAATCTCGGAACCGGAATCGCATAAAAGAACGGTGCAGCGAAAATAAGTTCGTGCGATGGGAATTCGAAGACACCCGGGGGCTAATTGAAGATTGAAGAGGTGATGGTCTAAGAAGGTGTAACTTTCCTATCATGAACCCTTCCTCGTCATGAACAGAGTGACACGACGCTGCTTTCGAGTCGCGTTGTTTCAAGAGTGTCAGCCCATTGTCAATACAAAAGAGATATGGTCATAAATTGGCAAATATACGTTGGAAGCGTTGCCGAATGTAAAGTTGGGTGCAGCAAATATAAATAATATTAGGTAAATGTGGCCCGGATGAGTATATAGGTTGCTATCTTATTCCGAATGAATCGCAGGATCATCGTTTCTGTTGCGACGGTTTGTAAATATGAAATATTGACATATCAACGACAAATCGAGACTCTATATACCCGTACATACAAATACATGGATCATGATATTATCGAGTAGGATACTGTAAATAAAACATATATACAAAGTCAGAATACAAATATTTGAGTTTATTTTATTTGAGCCCCGATGTCTTGTTGCTAAAAAAAAAGCAAGTGCATCTGTTGGCCTTGTTCTTGTTGGGTTAGCTTTCTCGTTAGAGAAATTTGGCCTAAAAGGCAATGTATTGTACTTTAGCTGCAGATTTCAACACATTAACTACCTACGTAACTTGAGTGCAATCAAACGGATGTACATACATGCTTAAGCTTCGCATAGTAAACTACAGTATTAAAATTGCTTTTGATTTGTTGGACTAATGGTTACTTGTGAGTAATGCATTACTAGTTATCTTAAGGTACCGTTCGAGGCGTTTACACCGACAAGGAAACGACAAGGAAAGCTATGACGAGTCTAACAAATTTTGTCTAGCATATGTTTAGTGTGCAGATCTCTAAACCACCAACCTTATATCTCCTAGTCATAGTTTGAATTGATTTTACTTTTAGTATTATCTCGGACGGCTATTTCCCAGCGTGGGACGAAGACTGTGTATACGATGGGATTCAGGCTTAGGCTAGCACATATTCCATAGCTTACCAGGACGACACGTGACCATTGCGCTATCCCGGACACAATCGTAGCGTTATTTGGCCGTCACACTACAACGTTCGGTTCATTGTAACGTGAAAAAAACAAATAAATATCAAGTTTTTAGGCTTTATACCTAGCAGCCATATATAATCATATATGTTCTATCTGAGAACATTTTAGGTTGTGATCAAATGCTACTGACTTGCCTGAAGATCAAGGTGGGATCTTCAGGCTAATTTCAACAGTTTTCGAAACGAAGATGCTTAAACTTAGAAAGCAGAAGCGCGACCGGAAGTGCACGTATCCCTAAAATGAGTCTCTTATCTAATTAGGCATTCGTACAAATTATGTAGCTAGTGTCTGTATATCCATAAATCGGTGACTGCTCGCATCGCAGTTTGTGTGCCTTATTTAAAATAGTCGTTGTTATTTTTTGGCCTTTCTCGGATCTTGACCATGACAGGTTCTATCGGCCGTACTACAACTTCATTAACAACCGTCAGACGCTCCCGAGGAAGAAGAGACTTCACTTGAAGTCTGCGAAGAATTGTCGCCAGAATAACTTTCTCCTCCCGAATAGCAAATTTCTGACCTAAAAAAAAATGTTCAATTTTTAGCAATAAATAACTTCAACAACACTGTTTTTATACTATATATATATATATATATATGTATGTATAATTTTTGTGGAATATATCTAAGCAAAAACGGGTTGCTCCACGAATTTTTTTGTACGTGCTTTTCCTGACGATAACGTTTGTTCAATGTAGCCTCTATTTATTTTAGTTACTCTCAATTTGGCTACAGGCTCATTTCAAATACTCCTTTTGCACCGGTACGAACGGCTTCATTATAACAAAAGTGAGCAAGTGGATGTTGTCATGTCGAAGCTTTATGAACTATAGCTCAACCAAGTTTTACACAAGTTTAAAGTTAAGTTATCCAGCTGGCATGCATGGTAATTTTAGAGCACACTCATGCTCTCAAGCGAGTAGTCCTGCTCTAAGTGGCTACTCTAAACCGGTGCACCGTCTTGCTGGTAAACGTATGGCTCTCCTTTTTTCTTAACTGCATCCGATTGTACAGCTATTTATAGAAATTAATTTTCTTGGTGATTTGTTAACCTTTATAAAAGGGGTAAGACGAAATAGAATTTCCTCACGTACACGCCGCGTTCAGGGTATGAGTTACGGCAGGAAAATTAATTTTAACACATCGTAAGCAAGCTAGCTAGATTTCGTGTCGGTAATAAAAATATTCTCGTCCATCTTTCGTCAAATCCGCTTTTTGAGAGAACTGAAAGGCGAATGAGACCGATAAAATCTCTAAGCTGTATTGACTTATTTATCACACTTTTATTGTATATAACGTGTATCTGAGATATTCTCAAACAATAAGTGACGTGATGGGTTTGTAGACATAAAATCTGTTCAATTTAGGCAGAGATATCATTAAAAACGCACTTTTTGGCGGCGTTGAATGGTCTTGGGGTTTATATCACTACTTTCTTGTTTATCGTAAATTTTCTGTTATGCTGTACTAGGGCTTCCTGCTGCTTGTTCTCCAGCTGTACAGTCATTCGCGATGCTGTATGCTGTCGACTTGAGATAATCATAGAGACTTATAAGGTCGCTCGGAAGTCGTTCCGCGTGAATATATTAGATAATACTTGACCTTGACTCAACTGCAGTTTTCCGCCACGGCCATGTTTTTTTCTAACATTTTCTTTTGAATCAACTTTCCTCTTAGAGTATCGGTTTCGGATAGACGCATTCGCGAAATTCTATGAAAAACCATCCGACTCTATATATATAGAGAAAAAAAAGAGAGAGAGAAAGAGAGAGAGAGAGAGAGCGAGAGGAGAGAGAGAGAGAGAGAGAGAGAGAGAGAGAGAGAGAGAGAGAGAGAGAGAGAGAGAGAAGGTCGAATTCTATTGAAGGTTCCCCTAAGCAATATTAAATTAGCTATAATGGTTTTAGGCAGCTAAACAGGATAAACATTTTTCATAGGTTCTTCGCAATAGCTGCTCATCATTTTTAATTCTTAAAAATCCATCTTACAAATAAATGATCTAAATGCATATATCTCACCTATGCAGTTCCTTGGCCCTCCTGAAAAAGGTATAAATGTGTAGGGATTTAATTTTGCCATGTTTTCGGGAAGAAAACGATCAGGATCAAAGTTCTCTGGGTTCTCAAACGCTTCGGGATCTCGATGAATGCGAAATACATCTATAACGACTGTTCCTCCAGCTGGTAAGCGATATTTTCCTGTCACCAACAATATGTTTACATGGCATTATTAAATGTGATAAGTGAGTTAGTAACATTACGTAATGCGTGAAAAAAGCTGTCAGTTGTCTCGCTTTGCCACGACAAAATTCAAACGTCTGAGAAGTGTCCTGAGATCTTTATGAGCAACTACAACTTTGAGCAAGCAAGATTGTCTATTGACACTCTGTCAAAATAACTATATCCGATACCAATATTTAGAGCTTTTTGTAATAAATACAACGATAATACAGGACGTATCTGGAACAAATCGCGATAAAGTCCTACATTCATACCTATAACACAATCATTTAGTAATCGTCGAGCAATAGCAGGAACGGATGGATATAATCTGAGCGATTCCTTTATAACGCACTCAAGGTACTTGAGTTCATTTAGGTCTTCCATGGTAACAGGTCTTTTACGGTCGTCGCCAAAAACTCGGTCCAGTTCGTCGTGAACCTTTGCCTGCACCTCGGGATAAAGCCCGAGAAGGTATAATAGCCACATCAAAGCTGAAAGACGAATAAATTCCTTTACTGACTGGTTTACAGCATGTTTAACAAACATAGTAGGGCACAATTCAAGGTGTCTAAGGCACAGCTAGGGTTGAAGTACAATTACCCTCGAACGAGGAACAAAAAAAACGTGCAATTTCAATAGGTTTTGCTGTGAAAAATGTCAGCTCGAATCCCATACGATCTGAGAAATGCTTACATATGAGGCTTGACGTCCATAAACAAAATCTGTTCACTAATCTCTTAACAAAGGTTTGGCTCCGTTTTACGATAATTGCTATAAATCGCAGTGCACCTCGAATAGTTTTTGCAATAACTTGAATAGAACTGATAAACGGCAATAGAAAAATTCACACATTAGCATCGTGCAGCTTGCAGCTGGCAGGGATCACTCTCAAGGTACTCGGAGTGGAAGCTCAGAAGCAGATGCTCACCTATTGCGGTGGTATCGTGCCCCGCAAACATAAATGTGTCCACCTCTTCCCTGATCTCCTCAAGCGTCAGTTCGTTATTTTCGAGATGTTTTATCAGCAAAGTGTCAAGAAATGGTTGTCTTCTTTTTAGTCCATTTTCGTCAGCGGCTTCTCTGATCAGAGATGGCTGTTCTTGCATTTCCTTCATTCTTGCCAATATTACCTATTACCACGTAACAAAGAAAGCGTATGGTGATGTAAAGATAAGGGTCGACGCACAGAATTAAAGCGTTGACACATGTTTCCTGTCTTAAAAAAGCAAATCAAATTATGTACGTTTGAGATCGCTACGGCTTCAATCAGCTAAGCTTCTCATATGTTGTTATTCTAAAACATTACGTCTACCTTGCGGGTGAACTCGTGCACGACCTTGAGGTGACGATAGTACTCCCGTCCACTGGGAGAAATCCTGTATATGAAGTCTGACCACAGCCAGGGACTTACGGCGCGGTTTATGAAACCTTTTGTCACTAAATGTACACATTGTAAATACTCGCTCTCGCTGCATTGAGCGTTTATTGATATACCCATCGCCGTCTCTGTAACATCAAGACACAATAAACAGACGGAAATTGTTGTCCTAGAAATTCTTGAGGCTCGTCCTAGAAATTTTATTGATCGGCTGTGCGAATCAGCACAACCAGCCTCAAAAAGCCGAAAGATCAAATTGGATTCAAAAGAAATGCTCTACACATTGAACGAAATTCGAAACACAGTTCTTACATAATAAATTAGCATAGGCTCAATCGTTGATTGGGCCTGAACAAATTTATTACTAAAGGCAACATCTAACTCAATGTTTCGACCTACCACAAATTATATTTAGAGTGCACTTTCCAAGGTAGTTGAAGATATCGATATCCTTTCCTTTCTGCTCCAGTAGGATATCGGCGAGCAGGGCAGCCTGTTCATTCATGGCGGGTACGAACTCCTCCAGAATATTGAAGTGAAATACAGGAGTCAACATCTTGCGTTTACGGTGCCACTTCGGTCCGTTGCTGGATACAAATTCATAAGCGTTTAGGTAATAAACGTCTTGGGCGCTCTTCCCTTTCATCCATAATACTAGGAACCCTTCGAGCATTCTTGCCAATAACCCAATATATTACTAGACCATTTCTATTCAGGCTATTAAAAGCTATGATCTCAAGTCGCCTGCTGATATTGAATGCGGAATCATTTCAATTCGATCTTCAAAAGATTACTTGTTCGCGTTTCTCTGTGTTTTTCTCTTCATATCGTAAGGAGATACTATTTTAACTCAATGTGAAGACCAATTTCGGCTACTCAAGCGACTCTATATACGGTCCTTTTTCTGCATAAGGGGTGAAATAAGAATCTATAAGGAAAAACTGTGACAGCATTCTGCGGTAGACACCAATTTTCATGCAGAAGCACATGTTGTAAAAAGAAATAATTTTGTTATATCAAAACAACAAATAATCTGTAATATTTTTCAAAGATTCACATCATTTATTTAATAAAGCACTCGCTGAATTCTTCAAAGCAGAATACTCATGCACACGATGAGCCAACTGTAACTTTTACCCTGTTAGGAGTCCCTGTCCAAGCCAAGTTTCAATGAGAGCAACTTCCTTTGATTTGTGAGTTTCGATCGTGCTCTTCAAAATAACTTCGGCGGTCTCTGCCCGAATCAGCGAGACAACGGGCCTAAACAGAACCCACGTACGGTACAAACCCGCGGATCGATATTCGCAAGTGAATGAATCCGTTAGCTCGAACAAGGCTGTAATTAGACTCACACATAGCTAACGAAAGTTACTTTCGGCTAATCCTAGGTAACAAAGAACTGCTAGAAGGTAAAACTAGGAGAACAGGGTCGTCTTAGCTTTTTTTTAGCCGAAAAAGGTTCGTATAAAAAGACGTCAATAGTAAGCTAAATGTCAACAAATGTAGGTGGTTAATTAAAATTCATTTATTCTAAATTGAGTAAGCGATCTCGTTAAACAATACAAATCGTATAGACGCGTGGGGCAGTACCAGCGGCGTAGAATAGGCATTCTGTTGCTAGTTTAAGGCTGAAGGCTCAATTAACGTTTGTGTCCTTCCTTAATAGATAAGACTACTGTGTGATTATGATTAAGCTCACCATTTGGCTTCAGCAGAAAAAGAAGTTTATAATAAACAATTCCCTAAATATTATGCTTGTTAAAATATACGTTTATCCAAAAACTGTCGAAAATGCTAGCGTCCTGAAGACCGTCTGCAACTAAAACCTATTTATTGAAATAAATTTTGAGTTGCCATCCACAGTTTCATTTCACCAACAATATGCTTAACAAAGTTGATGATTAATAATACAATACAATACAATACCTCTTCCAGGATTTATGTTTTTAATAAGTTTTCCAACGATCATGTAGGTCTCGACTCCGAAGGGCCAAAAAATGTTCCAGGTACATGGCAGGGGTCCAGGAACCGGATAGGTGTTAATAATCCGACGACGCTTTAGAAATGCGGCCACATATTTCGCTATGAGAAGGATAGCTATTGATGCTGGTATCAATAACCAATTTCCAGTGAACGTCATCTTTCCAACTTGAATATTCAGACAGTGACAAATTCAGATGAACTTTGAGACGGAGGCGATTTTAAGCGACGCTTCCGTCGGGGAAGCGTCAGCCATCTTCACTGGACCGCACAAATATGCCGACAGATCGTCGTTACACCGAATACTTGTGTATCACTAAATTATGTCCAAATTGTCACGTTAAGGATAACACATTGACAAACCGAAAAAGTCTAGCAAATATCGTCTTGAGCAACATCTCATGCGATTGCTATTTTTGAACGTGTGTTTTAGAAGGAGAGAAACTTCTATAGCTAAAGATTCAAGCTATCGCTGTACGTGAGAAACGAAAGCGTAGAACTTTTGAAGTTGCAAAAGCTCCCTGCCGCTCAAACGATCTAGCTAGTTGATTATTTAAATTATTCAACTGATAACTGAAATGCAACGGGAGATATGAAGTTAAGCTGCAACACTGGAACTAAAGAAATCTCTCGAATTTTATGCTTGGTATCGTCATTGGGCGTTACCTCAGGCTGTAGATATAATTAGAATAAATGTGTTCCTCTGATCCCTTACTCAGTACGAGAGGATCTATCGAAAAGTGCCTAAAAAGATAGATCGATATCTTTGTACTTAAAATTTGAAGATTTTTCGAAAATTTGGGGAAAAAACACATACCACTTTTTGACACGATCTGAGTGAATTTTTACCTTCTATGTTGTTTTCTCTAAAAACGGCCTTTTAACTTTCTTTTTCATCACCTTTGTCACTTGTTTCTCTAGCAAAAAACTTGCGTACGCCTTGTTATAAGCGATCCATTTTGTTTTGACCTCCACTTCTAGTAATGAAGCACTATTTTGCCCGTTGGGAAGAAAGATTTCGCAGATATAATTTCGCAGATATAGTATTACATGGTCAGCCGAGCGGTAAAGGGTACGCGAGTAGACCCTTTCCTTTTGCTACAAGCATCGTTCGCGAAATCAATATAAAAAATAAATTCGCTGATGAAACCGGCCAAGGTGTGTTACATGTAGAGTACAATAAAATCCAACTACTTTCCTCATACGTGGGAAAGGCACTGGCGCGTCTCGGTTTCTTGAAACTCAATCTATCCAATTACATCGATCATTACATATACCTGAAGGAAGTTATCCGAAGGCCAGCTTACGGGATAAAAGCCGAAAATATGCAATAATGGTGTATTTCATACAGACAAACCTTGAATGTATAAATTGATCCTTTGACCCAAATTCAGAGGTGAATAAATTGAGTCCCAGTTAATTGCCTGCAGTGAACTATTTTCTTCTTCAAATAACGAATATTGATGGTATATTGAAACTAATGGGTTTAACTTGAATAAACATATGGGTTCGTGCAGCCGATTTGCAGTCAAATAGTGGCCAGTGGATTTTTGCGCAAATAACTGGAGGATTAAACTGGAATTTCCCATAGGAAATACGCTATTTTTATGGTTTTAAGATCAAAATTCCTATTAATTGGTTTTAGAATTATTGTTCAATGGGAATCTACAGGATTGGACAAGGCAGCATTATTCAAAGTATCATTCTGGAAAATCTCGTAAAACTAAAACTCTGCCAGCCTCTAGACAGCTATAAGCTAACAATCCGTGCTTCCAACTGAATTGACAGCTTGCCTCTTTGATGGCATAGAAAATCCTGTAACCACACGGACCTAGATCAGGAGAACGAGCGAGTCGAAACTACTTTGCTTACTCAAAAAAATGACCAAAGTATAGTGATAAGGTCTGGCATGTCGTCAAGTAACTGGACGGCCATGTGCTTTCGATCGCCGTGCAAACGGCCTTTTGAGGAACTCGAAATAGCGGGCTGCGTTCGTTTGTCGGCGAGTACCTCATAAGAGCAGATGTCTATTGAAAGTACTACCGTCACCTTACATTTGACCTATTCGACACTGCCACTAAATTCTTTTGGGCGATGCTATCCTCTTGCTTTGTCCTTCTCTAGCTGGCGGTCAGGATTATACTACGCTTCGTCTCTAGCGACTGAACGCTCTAGTTCCGAAGGAACTAGAAAGTTCCGGTGCTAGAGAGTTGCGCAACTTCTTTAGGTTACCCGTGTATCTTAAGTATGTACCCACAACCTATCACGATAACTGTACATTATTTTCGCTCATTCGCGAGTACTTGCCCAACCGGTACGTTAATATATACACTCGAATCCGTTCCTTTCTATTCCGCGTTTTACCAAACGCGAAAATAGTTACCTTGAAATTATGACAGGGCTCGTATTGCTTTTTTCTTGAGCAAAAAACAATATTGACCCCTACCAAAAGACCTGTGCGCCTAAAAGGCAAACATTATCGGCCTATAGCCGTAATCTAAAGGTTAGGGTAATGAATAACGTAATGATTTGATTTATTTACTGCTTAAATAATCTGATTGATCAATGTCAGGTTACTCAGAATCAGCAGTAGGCAGCAACACATTATTCATTGAAACTTTACGGAACAGGAACAATCCACGTATTATTATTAGCTTATTATACCTATTATAATATATTTGGGCCAAATAAATTTCGCATTGCTCTAAACAGCAGATATGGGTCAAGCCAATATTCATTTACTAATATTACACTCGTTAATAGATAGTGTTATGGAAAATTATCCATTTAACACTAATAATATGCTCCTAGCAACATATACGTGTTCCCAAAATGGTTCAAGTGCTTCGGTAGATTTGTACATTTCCGTACGTAGAATGAAGCTATTTTTGGGGAAGCAGATCATTTTGCCCTTTTTACCTGAGCAAAACCGTCGAAACATATGGAGACAGCCATTCGCGTTTGAAATGTTTGCCCGTCCTTCTTTTTTTTTTCGCACAGCCTCCTGACTTCATCTTTAATCTATTTTTAATTATTTCCTTTGAACGATTTATCCGCGCAGTTCATTCTCAGAGGTCGATTAGCGTATGCTCATTTACCCTAGCGCCCGCCTCCGGTAAACACTGGCAATGGGCTGCGGTTTTGAAAGATAGCATCACATGGCCAGCCGGGTCGCACGGAGAGCGTAAATGGGTCCTTTTCTGACATATGGAGTGAACATTCATTCATAAGCCGATGACACTGACCAGCATCGGTTACAAATGTGATATTACAGAGTCAAATCCGAATGAATTACCGAACGCAATGATGTTAGACACTGAGAATCGTTTCACTGTGGAAAAATAAGTATGTATTGTACGAAGAAAAGTATAAAAATAATTTATCTCTCCCAACGACTAAATTAATAAAGTTTAATTAATATCTTCTCCTTGGGTCTATAGATGTTTTCAGTTATTAACAGAACGTTAATGGGGGTCATTCATTCTGGATAATGGTACAAGTCGTATATTTCTTGTACTAGAGAATTTTCTAAAATCTAATTAGCCAGCATGGGGTTGTCAATGAAGCATCTTTTTTTCAAACTAAGAAGGTGCACCAGCGGTCTTGGCTTTCTGAGAAACAATATATCCAGTCGCATATTTATTATTATAAACCTTTGAAAGAAGGAGTCCGAAGTCGAGGTATGAGGCGGTGTGGTATGTAAGTGGGAAAAAATGTCGATAGTTTTAAAAGCCAACTATGTTCAATGTTACAGCTTATTTCTTGTAGACCCATTCCCTCAACCAATAACGTTCCAGTGATCCTTAACCTGCTCGTTCTCGTGCATGAAGTAGTACAATATGATTTTCTATAGCAGTTGGTTAGTGATGCTTGAAGCACTAGTGTTCTAGCTAATTGAAATGGTCAGAACCAACGCGAGACTGTATAATGTTATAAATACATTAATTAAGTGTGTTCGTGCACCTGATTTACAAATACAGCTTATCAAAATATTATAACTATCCAACACGGTTCTAATATAGTAGTCTGTGTATATAACGGACAACCGTGTCTACTGAATATACGCGAGACCCAACGACGATATCCGGGTGCACTAACGTGAAGATCCTATTTTGAAGAACTGCTTCGATAGAGGCAAGTATTGCTTTTTAATGATCAGTCGAGAATATTTCACTATTTATCTCATGATCTTAGTTATCACTGGCCAAAAACAACCTAAGTGCGTTGTCAATGCGACGCAACAGTTATGTCATTTGCTTGTTCCTTATGTCTTTTGTGCGGCAACGGTAGTATATCTTTGTTTAGCAATTAATCTCACCGCTACTCTTCACCATGTTCCTGCTTTCAAGCTTGTATCAGACTCTTCGATAACAGATGACACTATGAATAACAGATAATGTCGATGCAAAAAAATTAGCCAATATAACAGGAAGGAAGACAGACTGGAGGAAGTTTATACACAAAGTGCGCAATCAATTCACAGAGGTCAAGGAAAACAGAAATGGCGGGATATGAGCGAAATAAATCGTCCAATAGATAATTATGAACGCATCTGAAAGAGACATGAACGAATGAGGATATATAACGTAAAGATATGGCTGTTTCAACCTTATGAGAAAGGCATTTAGAGACGAAATACCCAAAACTTCGATTTCGTTCGAGCCTGGCTCATGTAAGAGGATAAGTTTCGTTATTTAGGGTTGAGGCCGCAGAAATTCGCCTTACGGGAATCCGACAGCAGCGCCAGAGTGTTTGATATAGGTTAAACGGATGACGTCGGTAATACCTAATAAGTTGCAACCTTGTTACCATAGGCTTTTTACGACCGTAAACGAAATGACACCGCGCGACTTTCGACACACCACCTTTCAAAAACGTCCGCCGTCTGTGAAAATATATATTCTACGAAATATACCGTGGTAGCGTTGCCCAATGTAACTATACGCGCAGCGAAAACAAGTAACAGGATAATTCCTAAGTATAGCCTAGATCAATGTATAAGCGGCGATCTGATGACAAATAAATGGCAGAAAACCAGTGTCAGCTCTGCTCTTTGTAATATATA